ATAAAAAAGCCATCACTTTTTTTTTTTTTCTTTCTTGTACCTGTCAATATCTCTACATGTGGAAGGAGACTATGATCTAGGCCTTGCACTTAACCACAAGACAGCCTCACTTTCTCTGCACTATTAGCCAGAGCTTGACCTGCTCCCTAAAGGCTAGGGGGTTCAGAGGTTGAGTGTTGTGAAAGTACATACTGTCACTTACGATGCTATCTCATCTAGCTGACTCCACCATCTTAAAGGGAAACACACACACGCACATAAACACTCACACACAGAGGGGAGTTGTGCTTTAGCAAGTCCCATCAGCGCACTTAAAGCCTCACTCTAATGAATACCCTTCACCCCAAAATCCTCATCTTTGCAGCCCCTCTTCAATCTACCCTTGCGGCACACTCCAATCTTCACGACTCAGCATGTTTTCAGTACGATGCGGACGAGTTCTCTATCATCATTAGGGGTTTTGCGGAGTCCTGGGGTCTGGGCAGTGTGCCAGGATGTGTAAAAGTTTCCATGAGGAATGCCTCGAGTTGCCTTCAGAAGCATCAGTAGTCAACAGAGATCTGCACGAAAGTTAAACTGTTTCTTTTTCTTTTGGTTTGTTTTTGCTGAGTGGGAGAAGAGGGAGAACCCCCCCCCCCCCCCCCAAAAAAAAAAAAAGAAGCATTGACAATTCTGTTTCTAGTTTGAGAAAACAACTCGTGCAGGGTTTCAAATGCACCAACCTCGAATTGAACAGGAAACAATCACAAGCAAACCTACGCCGTAACACAACGCAATCAGAGCACATGTGTCAAATGTCAGCAAACAGGGAAGGCTGTACTGCGCTCGGTGTTTTCGTTTTTGGGGGGTGAATAAGGGCCCTTTGTTTCCCAGAGGCAGCTGGTAGAAATATATCTCACTGATTAGCACGAGTTCCTTTTCTGTCTGCCACATTTAGCTGAGTTTCATGATATCACCCATCACCATAGCACCTAATGAGACAGGACACACTGCACCAGCCTTAAACAGCTAGCACCATTACTGGGTCTATTCTAAACACACACACACACACATCAGCTGTAAAACGTTTAAACAGGAACAAAAAAATACAAAAAGTCTTGGATATTTCCCAAGATTGTCTTTGAAAAAAGCTTTTTAATGTGTGTGTGTGTGAACAGATTAACATGTGAGTCAGTTATGATGTCATCAGAACTGCTCCTTCAAACTAATGTGCTACCATTTCCTATATTTAGACTTAATTAGTAAGGTTCTTGAGGCATATGAGGCTGCTGCAGACTAGTATATAGTGATGTCATTGTCTGCCATCTCTCTCAGTCATGTCCACTTTAAGCACAAATCCTGAGCTGTGAGTAATTAAGCAAATCTGAGAACTATAGTTTTATGTGAGCCTAACCACGAGATGTTTATGACAATGACCAACAACACAACATGAACTAGACTTCTGGCAGAGATGGTTTTATTGTCTTCTTCCATTCTCTGAGCCATGTGACAGTACCTCCTGCTCTGAGGAGTTAGAGCAGGTGAGACTCAAGATGATTACTTTATGAATTCAGGTGGATACCTTCCCAGTAAATGCATTGCTCGATTAGAATCTTGCTCCAAAAACACTGTAGATATATATTTTTGAAATGTATTGCTTCCATAGCAACAAAGGGAAAAGTTTAAGGGGTTATGATGGAGTAAGTGTACAGCAGACTGGGGGATTTACACCTCCCTGCATACTAACCCAGCTCCTTGCGGTAAAGTTGCTCACCGTAGATACGTTGAAGGGTTTCTCAGGGGCTGAGTAAAATCTCGGCTCGGCCTGAGAGACACATTTCCTCTGGCTGATGAGAGCCGGAGGCCTCAGTGCTTGAGCGTGGGAGGCGCACCACTCTTGGGGAAGATCAAGAGTGTTCCCGCAGATTCCAAATTGCTGGCCCCCCAATTGCTGAGGAGGGGTTCTATTCTACAGCGGCTGGCGTTAAATCACTGCTACTGCGGTGAGGTCATCCTCCTGTCTTGCCTCTCTAATGGAGAACTGACTCACTAATATAAGCGGTAATGCATGTGAACAGTGAGCAGGGAGGCTTGTCTTTGCCTTCCGATCTTATTTATTTTAGCTTAAGGTTCATTTAAGGGGTTTGGTGTAGGTCCAAGCTTGGGAGCAGCAGATGCCTTTGCAGTATGCTATTACCACCGCACACTTACCGGGACTCCAACAGTTCCCCACAGATGCCTGTGCAGACGTTAGGTGATGCAAGCCAGTAGCCTGATGAGGTTTTCAAGGAGCTGCCTACCTGTTCTCATTCAATCAATACATATTCCTGTGCATCCCTAATGCAGCTGTAATCACTGTCTGAATACATTTGGCCCACAGACTGATGGAAGCAACTGGAGTTGTAAAGAAGACAGGTTACGACAGGATTTGGTAGAATTACTACTGCTTTGGAGTTTTGGTTTAACTTCATATTTTGGGTGCTTAAAAAAAACACTCTTGCCAACTTTATAATAAAATGTAAAATATTGGGTGTGGCAATGTGCAAAACAATGAGGAAAAAACACATTGTTTGAAGTTGGGTTCTGCAGAAAGTTTATAAGGTTATGATCAAATACCATCTTATTCTTTGTAGAGAGCTCTTCAAATGACCTCAGTTTGGAGAAATATGTATAGTTTTGATTATAATCATCAACTAATCTAATTTCAATAAGTCCATAGTTGTAAGCCTTTGTCTAAGAAACAGGGTTATTAAAGGTTAAAATTATTTGCATGTTCAAACAGTGGCAGCACCAACATGCTGCCACAATTTCAGTGCAGTCTATGGAATAAATATAATATTTCAACTGAAGTAACCATGCAATGTAAAGTTAACTGTGACGTTGATTGATTAAAAAAAAGCATTTTCATAAATAATTGTAAATGTTTTGAGATTACAGGTTTTTCTACGGCGGCATCAATCCACTTTGTCTTGGCCACGCTTGACTAATATTTAGCTCATCAGTCTGGTCAACATTACACTTTCTCCAAACTGAGGTCTTTCTAGAGGAAGTATCCCAGTGAGTTGCAACCGTTGGAGCCGAGTTACCAACTCAAACTTGACTCAGTACAGGAAAATATTAATATTTTCAGTATTTTTGCATGAAATTTTCTAAATCATGGTTTATTTTTGAGCGTACGTGACTTGTAAAACTGTATTCTAGATCATTCACATTCTTTCATTGACCATCTCTGCCAACATTGCACCAACCTCAGCTTACTTTGCACCCGCCTTGGCAGTTGCCCCACATTTATGATTTAATCAACTTGAGCCCAATTAAGATCGTCAGATCTGGACCATATTTTCATAAATATTATTTATTACTGGCATGACTTTTAGACCTGAACATGCATTGTCAGAAAAGTGCTCATGTGCAGGTATTCTGGCACTCTTGTGAAAAGTTAGAGATGCTCAAAACAAAATCAGACGGGTTCAAGATGCCCACAATGACTGATTTTTTAAGAGAAAATTTGCTGTATAGTTTGTTTGTTTTTTGGAACGTGTTCAAAAGTTAACAAGCGTGCAAGCCTCTATGACTAACAAGTAAATTGAGAATCACAACCGTCTTAAGACATTCTGGACACTCTTTTGCGAATCCTCTTTGCCAGCCATCATGGTCAAGCCAGGTACTACTTAAAGACCTATTTAGAACTGATATATTATTTGTTCATACACTTTCCACAGCCATTTTATAAAAAAACTATTTGAACTATTCTTTAAAACTAAGTGGTTTTGCTAAACAATGCAGTTCTAGACAATCACATTGCCGGGTCCTTAAGAGAATAAATTTTAGACAAAATGGTATAAAGGGAGGGAAAATTATGAGTTCACAGAGCTGATAACAGACCTGACTGAATAGTCTGTTGATGAAGTGAAGACTAATGGGACTCATGAAGACTGACAGAAATGCTGACAGCTAAATTTCATCTCAATTGCAGTTCCTGAGCAGGACTCCCCTGATCCCCTCATGCCTATCACCCAGTCCCAGCTCTGTTAAGGGAAGAGTGTAGAAACCGCACAAGCATACACATTTAAATTCACACACATACACACTACACCAACTTACTTAACATAAGGTGTACAGAAAGGGTAATATCCTTGGATATAATGTAATCCCCTCATCTCTGGTGGGACACAGGTGGATTTTTTTAACATTTCCAGACTGGAAGAATGCCAATGATGTGATCCATGAATATATATTGTAACAACAAGTGGAGCCTCTGCTAACACAGATAACAGGTTGCTGACATAAAAGACCTAATGTGAAATGGATAATAAACCTGACCATATGGTCCCCTGGGTGTGACTGGTTTCATTGCCAGAGGGAGACCAGTGACCCCACAGTCTCGCCTGATGATGACAGCCACATGGTGTCGACTCTGCAGGGAAAAGACGGGAAAACAAATCCTCTGCAACCCACCTCCCACCATCCCTCCCAGAATTATAGGGGGAAAATGGTTTGGTTCAGGAAACCCCTACCCATTGTTTTGCTTCCCTCATTAGTTGTCGAGTCAACAGCTTGGCTCGCTATACGTGTGCCACTGTTTTTGTTCTGCTGCACCCCGGCTGACCTTGGTGCTCTGATGTTTTGACAGATTGTTTTAAAATCCCATCAAGGCAGTGTAGGCATTTTGAAATAAAGCAGTCGCTTGGACCAACATAAGCTGAGCCAAATATCAGACCAAAAGCAAATAAATCCGCAGGGTCTAAAATTAAACAAATGTGACGCAAATCAGCTGCCAAAGCTCCATCAGGAAATACTGAGAGGAGCAGCAGGGTGAGGCTATGAGTGTCAGGACTTGCAGATAAGAAGAAGGTGTTAAATAAATGTATTCTGCTGCATAAATGGTCATTTCAGCTACAGTTACTAAGCTTAACAAAGCAGTGTTTCTTTATAAAAACTTCTAAAAACATCCTAATTCTTGAAATATTAATAAATAAAACCTTTTAGATTTTAGTATGTACAACTGTATCTTAACTCACCATCATCTAGATACATCTGATCCAGTTCCTGGGGCTCTTGCTTGACAGTGATAGCCATTGAGGGTGGACCAACATCTTCAGGTAGCAGGTGTGGGGGACTCCCTCCAGCTGGTGCTGAGCTACTTGGCGCCTGACTGGGACTGTAGGCTTGAACAAACGGACTTTCTGCAGGCCCTTCAGGAGTGGAAGGGTGGGACACCGGTGACGAGGAGGAGCTGCTGTTAGCGTACATGGAATGGTGGTAACCTTGGGGTCCAGGACTGTTGAGATGATTAGGGCTCCCCTGGGAGTTCAGCATCACCAGAGAAGAATTATGGTCTGGAGACAATGGGTGGGCAAGGCTGGGGCAACAAGGAGTCTCCATGGGGGCAGCTACAGTGCCTGGTGGTGCTACATGGGTGGGGCTGTTGGGGAGGCACTTGTTGTTTGCCACAGGAGACAAATCATGCAGGGTAGGGCTGGAACTGGGAGATGAAGGTGGCATGGCAGCATGTCGAGGAGGGCACGAAGGATAGCCACCAACCAGGCAGTTGTCGGGTTCAGTAACCGGCATGATGGGGGTGAGCCTGGGCTGGCCATAGAAGGGCTTTGAACGCATTGCCAGGCCAACTGATCCCAGAGAATCATACTCATCATTGGGTTCGGTCTTTATTATCGGAACTGAGGGGGAAAAAAAAAAACAGAAAGAAAGACTGAGAGGTTGAGATTTTAAAAACCATTGTGCAACTAAGACACATGGCACAAAGAATGTGTGAGCAAGGAGGGGAACAGGCGCAGTTGTGGCTTCTGTACCCTTCGAAGTTCAAATAAACAATAACCAGTCAATATTGGCTCAGTATACACTTGGCGCAATTCACTAACGGAGACCCTCCACCACCACCCATATTTACCACACCATGAAAAACAAAAAAAGAACTGAGGGGAAAGAAAAATGAATGAGTCATCAGTGTGGAAAGCCACAGCTGGCTCTAATAATGAGTAAGACCTATTTTCTTTGGACTCTGCTCTAACTCTGATATCCAAAAAAACTACTTTAAAGCCCTGGACGGCTGCTGCTGCTGCTGCTGCTGCTGTTGCTGCTCGAGGAGCCCAGGACCCCCAGGTTTCCTTCACACTCGAGAAGTAATTGATTCTCTCGGGACTAAAAGATAGGAGGGGAGTGAGGAAAAGGAGATGATTTGATTTTGATTAGACTGCCTGAGCTGCTTAAGAGGCTGCAAAGCTGAGCCTGTGGTTTCAGGAGCTTGAGACCTCAGCTAATGCAGGAGAGTGCTGTGACCCCACTCGATCATCCTGCCTTCTCTCTTCGAATTTCTCATCCAACGCATACACTGTCTGCATTGCTTCCTGGCGAGGCATGACTGACAGCTATCACATGCCTTCTCTATGCTGCTGAGGAAAGTAGTTAGAATGGTACACAGAGGAACATACTGAGTTAAGCTGATGAGGAGAGATCCACATAAACACGCTCTCTGCTGAGTTATTATATGAGTATGTATACACACACTGTGCCAGCACAAAACTAATAGGTTGGTGTTAAGATACCCTGAAGCACAACAAAGTTTTTGGAGTCACAATGGACATACTGTTTCTGTTCACACAAATTGTTAAACAACGTTAATGGGTGTGGTGAGTGTTGATGCCAACCATTAAAAGTTTTTGGCCAGACTAGCTCCGCATGACATTTACAGAAAAGCAAACAGTTGTCAGAATAAAAAAGATGCTTGTCTAAACTGATTTAGAGTAATGGTGGCAGCTATAACTTCGGTTCATGAACGACAGCGTGTTTTTCTTTTTTCTCCTTTTTTTTTTTTTAAGACTGTAATCGCACCTGCAGCCTCTGAGGTGCTGAGCTGTGTTACTGCGATAACGCAGCAGGGAGCACATTTACGTCAACCTGCCTGCTTCAAAAGCCCAGAGAATTGGCTCGGTGTGTGTGGGAGCACCATAGGGTGGAATCCCCTGATGCCCAGGCCTCCTCTACAAAGCCTGGGGAATAACAAGAGAGTCACATGGTCACACGTCATCCTTCCCTCTGTGGCTGTCTTCCACTCTTCTGCCTTTTCTTTAGCTTGAACGGGCAGCAGATTGCTAAGGAGCAAGGTTGTGTTTGTCAGAGGGGTGAATATCAGAAAGAAAGAAAATATCACTTCAGCCTTAATTGGAGCTCTTTGAATGAACTCAGTTTGGGAAAATAGAGTTGACAGCAGAAATAGTCCCACTCAGACCAATGTGACGAGTTAATAATGACCGGTCAAAGCAGGGGTACTGGAGTGAGGTAAATATAAATGAGTCATTTTCAAATCAGTAGCATAGATCCGAGGTTGAGGTTTATAAATTGAGTGAAGGATACACACAAATTTGAGTTATTCTTCTCATTTGGAGTGTCTAAAAAAAAAAAGACCAAATTGTCTGATGCATACTGGTAATGTCACTCTCTAGGACACCTCATGACTAAAAAACATTGGGAAAATAAACATTTGATCATTTTGATATATTTTCTTCATAGATATAAAAACATTTTCTGACCTATCACAAACAGAAGTTTCCTCTCTTGTTTGATTATCAACCTCTTTCACGTGTGAACTGAGAAAACTGATGTAACCAGGTGAGGGTCAGCTTCGGCTGGCTAATTTCCTCCTATAGGTTATGGCTCATTGCACAGTGGAAGAGTGGCTAGCATTGTCACCTCATAGCAAAAAGGCTGCAGGTTCCCCTCCTGGTCTTTCTGTGTGAAGTTTGCATGTTCTGCCCATGCACAAGTGGGTTTTCTCTGGGTACTCCGGTTTCCTCCCACAGGTTAAATACACGCATGTTAGGCTGACTGATAACTGTAAATATTAACTAGATGTGGGTTGAAAGACTGAATGTCTCATTTATCTCTATGTATCCCTGTGATGGACTCGTGACTTGTCCACGAGCACCTCGCCTATCACACAGTGACTGCTGGATATAGGCACTAGCTGACGAATGACCCCGAAAGGGAAAACATATATAAAGATGGATGGTTTATGACCCAGAAATGGATGATATCTGTGCAGAGTTTTCTCCTTATTGTCAGTTTTCCTAGCTGCTCTTTTAAAGCTGATCTGGCATATTGAGTTATTTTACAAATCAGTTGTATGTTGTTTAATTAAAGGGAAGGAGATGCAGGTAAGATAAATAACTGAACATGTATATTTGATTAGGAATGGGGTTTGTCTGTAAATATTAGTTATTTGAGCATCTGTAGTGCTGGACAGAAAAGGTTCTGATTTTTATTTCCATTGACAAGAAAAACACTAGATAGACAAAATTAAAGGTTTAGCGGTACTGACGTCAGAAGCATTTGTAATGTGGAGGGGACAATGGTGAGGGGGTCTGGGATTCCTCCCTCAGAAAATTCTGAATAAAGTAGATGCCATTTCCTTCATTCTGGTGTATTTTAACAGGCTGTTAAACATCTATGTTTACCTACATAAGTAAACACTTGATTCAGTAACTATTTTAGAGAGCATGGTACAAGAAGTAGCCTGACCAACAGCTCTCCTTGTGTGAATAGAGCATGCTCCACTTCTCTCGAGCAGTCTAACCTCCCCAACCTTGGTCAACAACTGCTGGCACTAATGTAATGCTAAGCTAGCGTGCAACACAGAGATGTCTCCCCTCCTCCCCTTCACCATCCACAAAAAAAACGAATAGATGAGTGCCCTGCCAAGGCAAGTGACAGAGGAGAAATACTGCATGTGAGTTGTTGTAGGTACCAGGAAAACCCGGAGTGGACTTTTAGTGATTTGCTTATTCTCATATTAATCAAGTGGAATGGATTTGTTCACAAAAATATAGAAACAGTGCTGGGTGAACTAATATCCATCCATTATCTTTGACCCACTTCTTCCATCTTGGGTCACGGGGGTCGCCGGTGATATTATAAAAATATATTAAAAACAGAAATTGTGGGTTCTGTTAACGTTTAGTGTATAAGGTGGTGATGACCCCCAACTAATAACACATCAAGTTTTAGATCAATGTTTGTAAAACTGACTGGATCATATGTGTGTTTGTTGCTGTTGTTGTTGTTTGCTAAGAATGAATCACTGAGGCAGCCATCTTGAATTATTGACCCAACAAGTGATCAGTTATAGAAGAACATCCAGTGATTACTTTGTGAGTTTCATTAAGGGTTTATGAGTTATTTTGCTAACAGACAAAAATACAGACATCCACATACAGGAACAGGAGTAAAAACATTCACCTTCTGCAGTAGGCAGTAAAAATGAAATGATAAACTAGTTTTGTTTTAATAGTATGGGTCTGCAGAAACACTCATATAGTGGAGCAGGTGGTGGTTCATTAACTCAAAGGTAGCTGGCGCATTGTGTCCCACAGAGCAGGCAATCTGGTCTCGTTGCAAACATCGAGTCTGATTGCAATGCCGGACAAAACCCAAATCTGCAGACATGACTGAAACTTTTCAGTCATTGTCCAGATTTCCAAAAAACATGACTCTGCAAAAACCTATTCACAAAGAACAATGTGCAGGTCATTAAGTTTTCCTGTATGTGTCACAGAAAATGTTTCTGGTTCTGTTCTGTACAGATCCAACCACAAACCAATGCAATCATGGAGGGGTGGGCACCCATAGGAATACAACATGATATGCCAGAGGAATCTCCAAACGGCCTGTAAAAACAGAGAGGTTCCGAGAAGCTCTTCACCCTAGTTTTGGTCATTGTTGGCATCTATTGGGAGTGCTGGAAGTCTGTTGTTTAATGTGGTTTGTGAAAACTGTTTCTTGTTTTAAGAACAGCACATTGCGTCTCTGCTAGAATGATTGGAAATGGAGCTTGGAAAAGCAGAGCTCACGCAGAGAAACAGACAAAACATCCTAATGTCATGGACACGTATTTAGAGTCCAATTACAAACACTGCTGATTGCGTATTATAACTTCAAAACCTCTTTCTGATTTGTTGAGTTCTTACTCTTTTCCTTGTGCAAAGAAAACTTTTGACTTAACTGCCTTAAAGTGATAGTTCAGCTATTTGGATGGAATATTCAATCATTTTTAATCTTTTGTTGATAACCTTCAGAATGAAAAACAGCTTAATTCTGACTGAACTAGCATGCTAACCGCTAATCAGCAAAGACCAAAAAGTATTGTTGATATTTCAAAACTGCTCCAATTTCCAAATTGTCTAAATGATTCATGTAAAGACAATTAATTAAATCATCATTGCCTTCAACTTTGTATTATTGTTATTTACAAAGATTCTTTTAGATTTTGTAAAAGCAAATAATGGCAGCAGAGGCTAGCCTTAGCACTTCTGGTGCAGCTTGGTGGCACTTCCAGCAGGAGTATCATACAGTTTCTCCTGGAATAACCACTAGGCATAAATTGGTGGCGTTTTGAAGGTTTATGAAATAGCATTTGCATGAACCACAATGCAATTTTGAAAACTGGAGTTGGTATGCTATTTGATTAAATAAATCTGCAAAGAAGAATGTCTTTTAATAACAAGCTAAATCATGACAGGCTATCGTCAAACACAGACTCTTTCACTTTCTAAACTAATTCACACAAAGACATTTGAAAAAGCGTAATCGCTATTGTCAGCTTTGTGTACCATGTGTTATTCCAACAGAAATGTATGATATTTCCACAGAAACACTCACCAAGCTACTCCAAAGGTGCTATGGTTTGATGCTCTTGACACTTTTTGTTCATTACATACATAATTTCACCTAAATAACACTGTATTCTAAAAGTAATGTGGGTTTTATTTATTTATTAACCTTATTTAAGCAGGCAAATCCCACTGAGATCTCTTTTACAAGCGAGGCCTGGGCCTGAAGGCAGCCTAACATGCATGTTTTTGGTCTGTGGGAGGAAACTGGAGTATCTGGAGAAAACCCACGCATGCACAAGAAGAACATGCAAACTCAACACAGAAAGACCTCAGGTCCAACTAGGGATTGAACCCAGGACCTTCTTGCTGTGAGGCAACAGTGCTAACCACTGAGCCATCGTGCTGCCAAAAGCTTGGGTGTAAAACTTGATAAAACACCACACACTTTAATGAAATCTTAGCAACTAAAGTGGTTTTAAAAGGATAAGCTGGTAATTTCTGAAGCAACTTTATGTCAGATAATTTTAGCACTTTATCAGCCATCACTCAAAGAACATGTAGCCCAAAGTAAAGGATAACAGGCTAGGCTAATGGCTAGCTAAAAGAGGGCTCAGATATTATTTTTTGTTAATTAACAGCCATGTTACGTGAACGTAGAAGTGCTGAGTGTAGAACATGTAAATATCAATACCCTACTGTTGATGAATGTATCAGTTCACCTGGAGGTGATGACACTTGACTGATTAGACATTAGCAAATACTTGTGCTGACGTTTACCGGTAATTAGGTAAGGGATTGGTTTGTCCATACAAACTTTATACTTCTGCATTTACTGACGTGCTTTATTAACCTATATTGTGCTAATGAATTTATTCTAATTTGATGTTTGATAATTATGTAATTCCTGTTTTTGCCTTACCATGCATTTATTTTAACAGTTCTACTGAGCCCTTTCTACTAAACACTAAAAAGTTTATCTGTGACTGGCAGCCAGTTTAATGTTTTCGCTGTCTCCTTCTTGTAATATTATTTTACAGTTCCCGCAGGAGGCCGAGTGAGGCTGAGAGTTTATTCAATCTGTTTGCATGTCTTAAACAATGCAATCTGTTGAAACGATATGTCTGGTTGAACATGTGTTGTTTTTTTTAAACCAATGTGCAAAGTTGTGTAAAGGTAGTCACCAGTGTTCAGCATCTGTGGCCACTGATTGTGTTTTTCATTAGTGTTAAAGAATAATAAGGTAACCACATGACCTGAATGGAAAATGAAGGTGGTTTTCAGCATCTGTGTCCCAGAGAGTGTTTGCTTCATCCTTCCGCTGTTTCAAACAAGTCAGGCTATTTTAAGCCCCGGGTTTGCCTTTTTTATAGACGAGCAGACAACAGAGTGTGAAAGAAATGTTCTCTGTAACCAACGTCACTGACCACAACTGTGCTTGAAGTGGGTTGAGGGGCCGGAAGAGACTTTTCATATGAGTGAACCAAAAAACAGTGTTGACAAATGTGTGTGTCTGTTTGTGTAAATGTGTGTAAATGTGTGGGTGTCCTCCTTCCCAGCCCACCCTGAGTACCTGGCCACAGCAGCCGTCTTTTCACTCATTGTTGACACACAAACACACTGAAACCCTCAGAAACAAACAGCTTCACTAGGATTTCCTCTTGAGAAACTGTTGCACCCCTCATCACTACAAAGGTTTGGTTTATGCTGAATATGCACCAACCTTTATACGCCATTCTTTAGAATCAGCAATCATGGATTTAAATTTTACAGAGTATAATTGATGTGTACGTTTTTCGTTATCATAATTGTGGTACTCCACCAGTGCAAATGTAAAACGCCTGTCAAATCTCCAAATTGTGCTTAGCATTTCTTGAAGAGATGCATATTGACCACCACTTTTATGTCAGAGTTTTGTGTTCTGCATAACCTCATGCAATAATTTGAGAACTTGTGAGCTGTACTGGAGCTCAGAGTATGTTTTGTGGATACCACTCAGCTACTGCCACGCCCAATTTTTGCTCCATATCTACAAGGTCGATTGAGTTACAGCAATTTTTGTGTTCACTGATGTTGCTCTGCTGTGCTGCCCATCTTGAATTGGACTGAATTCACAAGCTTAATCAGTTGTAGATGTATATATTCTATTACTTTTGTAAAGTTTTTATTAAAATCTGTGTAGTGGTTCATGAGATATTTAGTTAAAAGGAAAACAAGTAAATGTACGCATGAGTTTCAGATCTGGAATAAAAGTTTGTTTTTACAGATGCCCATTGTCGCATAGAGTTATGAGGGACTCCAAAGGAGTTGTAAATCTCTAAATTAAAGTTGTGATTCCCTATCTGTTTGGCTGCAACATTTGTGAGTTAATTATGCATCTCTGAGACGATATTCGCCCCGCTTGTGTGGTCCACACTGTGCTTGTGGTTTACTTGGCAGCAAAAGGCAGAACACAACAAGTCATCTTTTAATTAGAGCTCTGTTTATGTTCAGCCAAATGACTTAGAGATACTCTGCCAAGAAGCTGCATATCATACTGTCTGTCTCTGTCAGGGTTGATGTACAGCGTATGAAATAGATAGGCCATATATGGCGACCGTTTAAGACTCCTCTTTTTTATCACTCAATTCCAAAGTAGGGCTATGTTCTATTTATTCTAGAAGCTTGATCCAAAGTCCCGATCACTTATCTCCTGTGGATGTACAAATAACTGCAGATAATGTAAATGCCACATCTTATTAGCAGCTGTAGACTTAAAAGGTCTGCATGAGACCCATCAAGCACTGATCAATGAAAACAAGATCCTGTTGTTTTGATCTAATGGATTCCACTGGGTATCGTGATGTAGGGTGCAGGATGGAAGTCCTAAACCAGTATGAAGATCAAGATACATATGGGTATGAGAGTATCAATTAATCTGATACTGAAAACTAAATTTAGGTGTTGTTCTTAAAAAAAAGCCATTACTTCTTACTTGTTGTTTTAAGGATCTGAAATGAACTTTTTCAGGAAACATGATACCAATCAAGATTATGTGATATTTCGCCTGTCTATAGTGTGGAAAGCAAATAACTCCTACTGCAATTTCAAAAGTGAATGTTTCAATTCATTCTTAAAATTCCAATATGAAGTCAATTGCTAAACAGTGATACCTGAGGGACATGGTAAGTGCAGAGAGATGTAATCCTGCATGGCTTCTCAGGTTGCAACATGAATGGCAAGACAAAGCACTAGCTGGATGGCTGTTTGTATGTGTATATCCATGTGTAATTGTGAGTTTGTTGGGCTATTTGGACACCATGGAGGTATTGTGTGAGGCAGAATGTGAAAGTGAGGTCCATTGAAGATTGACTTGTCTACACTGACAGCGCTCGGAGGATCTGTCACTCAGCAGGAACACCTCATGACTGAGGAACGAGGTTTCACAACAGAATAAACAACCTCTTCTTCTGCTCTCACTCATAAGCCACAGTCAAGTGGTGCCAAAATATCCACTAAAAACTGCTATAAATTTCACCTGGTATGTTGACATGTAGAGTCATACCGTTTACATTTCACAGTTCTTAAGAGTTTAAGAAATACTATGAAAGTGGAGTGCAAATTGTGTCACTTTAGAAAAGCATACAGTCACAGGAAAAGAAAAGTCCACCGTTGTTCAGATTACATTTCAAGACAATAAAAATCTATACCAGTTTTTGAACGTATTCAAATTTAATCTGAAGTGCACAACAGCAAATTTAATCTATCAATTTACCTATTTTTTTCCATTTATTTATGGTTGGGATGCAGAGGCAACAGGTCCAGGAGGAAAACTTAGACATCCCTTACCCCAACAACACTCCAGCTCCTCCTGGGGGATCCCAAGGCTTTCCCAGGCCAGAGAGAAAACGTAATTCCTCCAGCGAGTTTTGAGTCTGCCCCAGGAGTCTCTTTTAATTGGATATCCCTAAAAAACCTTCAAAGAGAGCTGCATAGGAGGTATCCTGATCAGATTCCTGACCACCTCAGCTGACTATGCCGATCTCAACTGGATGATGAAGCTTGTCACATTATCTCTAAGGCTGAGCTCAGCCACCCTACAGAGGATGCTCATTTGATACATTTTATTTTTTCTCAACATTTTTCTTTTTCCAATGGGAGTAAACTTGCACAAAGATTTGAAATTTCTTTGTGTGTTGGACATCCTTCCCGATGCAACCACTGACCACCGAGCTACCACAGCCCACATGTGTGGAGCAGATGTCTGCCATCTTGGGTGCCCGGTGGAGCAGACAGGGGCATGGGGTTAAGGGCCTTTGCACAAGGTTAATTGACCACTAATGCATCTTATGCATCTGAAGGCAGATGTTTCCCACCCAAATTGTATTAACAACCTTTCAGTCACAGGCTCGCCTTCCCTAATCTCTGTGCCGCCACCCCCATTTTTCACATACTTGATGTTAGATTTAGATAACTGTAGAACCGGTAAAGACTATATTGTATATTAGTGTGTTAACATGTATATTATGTATATCAACAAGTGGTGGATGTGTTTTTTTTTCCCCTCATGACTATATGAGTTATCTGGCAGTAGAAACATCAGGGTTTTGGTTTACCATTAGGAGGCAGGTAGGTGAAGCGCTGGTACTGGCTTCTCTTCCTCTTGCCGTTGCAGACATAGAAGTTAACCTGCATGGAGCTGGATATTCTTTGATTCCTGTAGGGGGGGATCTCCACAACAAGGGTACCCTAAAATATAAAGATACAAGAAGATATTTCAACTTTATGTGACATAACAATTGCTGAATATAAATATGAACTGACATCTGAGTCAGTTTACGTTTAATCATTTGATTTCATGTTTCACAAGTTCTGTAACTTTTCAACCAACAAGTTTTAATTGTTTTTGCAACATTTAGCATGTGGATTTTGTTTCTTTGCGTGTTTTCTTAAATACAGCTTTACATTGGTGGTATGGAATGAGTTTACAGTATAACACTCTCCAAGCCCGGGAGGTTTAGAGGTTAATCAACAGCTATGTTTATTTTGCTGCTGGCCTGCATTTAGGATACTGTTTCCAAGTGGCTGGACAGGGAGCTGGTCTGAATGCGAATGTCTGGATTGTGTAGAAGCAGTAGTAGGACCCAAGAGGCTGGTCCACTGCCCGTGTTTGTCTCTGACAAAAACCCTGGGGCTTTAGATTTTTTTTTTCCTGTACAGCACAGAAGACAGGCAGGCTTATTTGTTTGCACAGCCGTTCTCCTCTGTAAAAGGGGTCGTGTTCCCCACCCCTCTCTTCCCTGCTAGACCACAACATGTCTGAACGGATGTGAACTCCTGACAGCTTTAATTCTGACGGAGGAAATGTAGAAAAAATTGTCAGTGATGGTGTGATGGTGTCTAATTCCTGGGATAGCTGTCACTCTCGTTGGGGTCTGTACAGGTTAGAGTTGGGAACTTTTGTCTGGTGGCAGGTTTTTCTCTGTCGTCGTTGTGCATGGAGGAAGGCTAGAGGGGATGGGGCGTGGAGGGTGGGCTGAAGGTGATCTCAGCCCCAGCCTGCCTTCCACATGATGACAAGGAAAACATGCAGGTGGCTGATTGAGTGTGGTAAATGCATGCAGCCTTCCTCCTCAATCCCAAACATCCAACGTTAGCACTCTCCAGACAGCAATAAAAACACAGCCAGGCAGGCAGACTCGAGCACTTTAAGGTAGTCTGGTTGGAAGTAACAGAAAAAGAAGGCCAGTGCTCCTTACTGTTTGTTGCTGACAACAAGTAAGAACACTGAGGTACTTGTGTTTATCACGTTTACCTCCACCTTGCACACTCACCTATTTTACAGCATCCTAGAGTTCAGTTGAAGCACCATAAGTCTTTTAAACAAATAAATCCCCATTTACCCTTCTGACGAAACCACATTGCTTACTTGAGGAAAATTAACAGGACAAAATTACTTACTTCTTATATTTCACCTAAACTTGGCCACAAACCAAAACCATTTTAGAGATTAATGAATCCATCCCCCTTTGTTGCATCTTCACCTGCCAACCCAGTGGCACTGGTCGTGGGGGAGGCTCTAGTTTATCATAAAGAATGGAGAATCATCCCCACCCCTGCACCAACCATTCAGTCATTCAAGTCTACAGCCATACAGCACAGTGGCCCATCCCCCACCACAATAGTAACTAATTATCATACACATAAGTCCAAAACTGAATTTATCAGCATCACTATCCTCCTCACCAAATTTGCAGTACTGTCCCCCAGCATAATTTGGCTCAGTGACTTTAACATACATTTCAACAACTCTAATACCCCTCTAACTGAGGACTTCTTATCTTGTTTGGACAGTTTTTGTTTTCAACAGTTCATGGCTTTTCCCACCCATTCTAAAGGACATGTTCTTGACCTCATCTGTTGTTGTGGTATCACCCCATAAAACTGTTCTGCAACAGATCTGCCTATCTCTGACCGTATGTGCATCTCTTTCAATGTGACATTCTCACTAACTAAAGCTAAACCAACATGTGTCATCTCTTTTAGAAATATCAAGAACATTAACAAGGACACTCTAAATACTGGTAATGGAAACCTCCTCAGCATAAACGGCTCACATTCTCCTGGCAAGCTAGTAACACACTATACGAAGAGTCTCCATAACCTCCTGAACACACTGGTTCCATTAAAACACAGACTATCTCCTTCACCCTCTCTGCACCCTGGTCTACACTAGGGCTTTAACAGAATACTCGAGTAATCTACACATCAATTCCTAGGACATCTATCGGGTTTTTAATTTCACATTGAGTATTCGTGGTGACATCATTACGTCGCTGTTACGTCATTGCGTGTCACGTGATCTGCAACAGGCGCGAGTTACAAAATGGATTCCTCCAAGCAGACAGATGGAGCGGAGCAGGCCCAGTCTTGGCAAACAGGTAGAAATGCATCAATAGTCTGGAAATATTTCACTAAAGATGAATCTTCTGGTTAAACTACCATAAGGAAACAGAAAATGAATCAACTTCTTGACTGTTTGGAGCTCGTTGCGAACCGGTGTTACACCATATTCTGTGACCACCGTATATTGTGACCGTAGAGGGCGGTGTTGCATGCGCTGTTGCAGGTCACAGAATATGGTGTAACACCGGGTCCAATCAACCGAACCAGAACCAGCTTCCTCTGACCTTGTTTCACAAACAAAAAGCAAAAAATATTAATCTCTAAACCTATAAAAACCTATAAACATATTAATCTCTAATACTAAACCTAATGCGCACCACAGCTGGCGGTGGTGCGGGGTGGTTGTCACCCCCCCCCCCCCCCCAACACACTGTTTTTAGTTTAGTTTTTGACATGCTGCATGTTTCTTTTACTTTTGCAGCTTAATAATAATAACTAATAATTTAGTTTTTCCTGTGATTTATTTGCAGTATGATACACGGTAGGAGCATAATATGTGCTCCCAATGTTTTGTTGGTCTTTTTTTTGTTGTAAATAATGACTATTTTTGTGGTTTTATTTATTTATTTTTGTATCTTTAGATCCTATGATGTCATCAAGTACTCGAGTTCTACTCGAGTTTTATTATGTTAATGTCGAGTTTAAAAATGATGTAGTCATTCAACCTTTAGTCTACACCTGAGCTTCACTATTTGAATGCCAAAGGACGACAGCTTGAAAGCCTCCATAAGGGAACAGGACTCACAATTCACAAATACATGTACTCTGTACATATTCTCCATTATAAAAACACCCCCTCCTCAGCCAAATAACAATATTACAGAAATATCATCAGTACAGGTGACAGAAATACACTTTTCTCTCTAGCAAACAGAACTCTATGCCCACCAGACTCTTTCCCCCTCACCTCTACTCCACCAATAACTGTAACTCTGACATTTCTCAATAACAAGATCAACAATATCAGCATCTACCCACTCACTCTATATGCAACCTGCCCATCCCTATTTTTCTACCCCATCTCTTCCACTCACTCCCAGGCATCATACTTCCTTCACATTCTCAAATATCCGACCTGATCTGAACATCGAAGTCATCAACCTGTCAGCTTGATCCCTTTACGACTACACTTGTTAAAGCCTCTGGTCACTCTCTTACCCCTTAATAACAGAAATTGTTCACTCCTCTCTCACCTCTGGCATTGTCTCAATCATTCCATCCATTATCTTCCACTTATTCCAAAGTCAGATCACAGGGGTAGCAGCTTGATCAGGATCGTGCAGTATCTACAACTTTCTTTCATTTGGTATTGTCTCATCATTTCTTAAAACAGTAGCCATAGTCCCAACCTCAAGAAACCCAGATCAGACACCAGTGACATCAATAACTTTTGACCTACATCTAATCTCCCATTTCTTTGTTTCCCAGATCCATATCCACCTCCGACAATGATCTATATGAATAATTCCAATCTGGCTTTCACCCACTTCACAACACCAAACCAGCTCTTACCAAAATCACTAATGACCTTCTCACAGCTCCTGACTCTGGACTCCTCTCCCTCCTCATCCTCCTTATATCTATAATATTTCTATAAAATATCTATAAAAGATAGCCATTTTTGCATTTGCTAAGGTTAGCTGTGGTGGCAATCATGAAGTGGGTTGACCCAAAGCTTTAGGGGGCAACATAAAGAAATACAGACCTGACTGAAAAATGTTGGATTTTATACCTGGATTATTGAGCATGGACTTGTTATAAAGAAATACAGTTTCAAGCAGCAGCTCTTAAATACACGTCTGTTAGTTTAGAGCCTTTGGCAGCGTATACGTTCTTAGTTTACAATGAGAGTGGGAGGAAGTGACACCCCCCGATGAAAGGCATCAGCAGTTCAACACATGCTGACATCACGCCCAAGCAAACAAGTTTTTAGCCCTAACAAACCTCGATGAAATCTTAATTAATTCCAGAGCACAAGAAGCTTTCTGTGACACAAAGACCATTTTTGCTTCATTTCCCTCAGTTGACGATTCCCTTTTGCTTGGTTTTATATTAACACGATCTGAATGTGTGACTGTGCGTCAGAGCGTGCTGGTTTATTTTCTCATTACAGCCTTCATGAAAAGCAGCAGGTAGAATCGGGGGTGTAAGTCGATTTTGGCTGCCCGAGCCCTGCACAGATGAGGTGTTAAGCCCCAATTCACCACAACGCTTGACTGTGAACTAATCGTCTGGCTATGACGGGATGGCTGTGGCGTGTGTGTGTGTGTGTGTGCTTGTTGATGTGTAATCTTTAACTTTGTTTTCTTGCAACTATATGACAGCATGTGTTTGTTTCTTTTTCCTTTACAGAAAATTCCATTCAGGATTGCACTGGCTAATCAGCATCGCTTGTGATCCAGTTTGTAATGCTTCAGCAAGTGTTACATCATCAGGTGGGACAGATGAGGAGGAGACAGAGGAAAGAAGAACATCTCAGGGGGAAGAATAATTATTAAAAAACAATCATGTTGCTGATGTGCACTTACAGGTTTGACGGAATCCTTGTCGACCTTGGCTTCAGTCTCCCACAGATGGTGCCCGTCTGTCCACAGACACACACAAACATTTAGTATAACTTATTAAACTGCTTTTTTTATCTAAAAGGGTAGAGGAACAGTGAAACTGAACAGAAATGAGCTATGTACATCTTGGTGTGGCGTTTCGGTCAGTGATGTGCTACAACCTGAGTCAATTGGTCATTGCACTTCCTGTGGCGTTTCTGAGCAGGACACCCAATCCCGAATTGCTCCCCAGGCACTTACATAGCTGCCCACTGCTCCACCTGGGTGTATCCCAGGTGTGATGGGTTAAATGCAGAGAGACATTTTCGTCTTTGTATGGGACCATACAATGATGACAACACATAGCACTTTAATTAGAACATTAATAACTGGGATTTTCTTTTTGTTCAGCAACATTTAAACATTTGATTTTGACATTATACATGTGTGAAGTGTACAAATATTCTAATAAGCCACTTAAACATGAGCATAATGAAAACACAAAGCCTTAACAACCAATAAAGCACTTTTTATGATTGCTGCTTTTTTCAGATAAGGCAAACATCGGTGATACCCAATAATTTTTTGGGAGTATGACCTACAATCTCAGATGTTCACAGTATCAGATGAGTAAAGAGGATATATTGTAACATTATTTTCTTACAGCCACATACAGTATCTTGATGCACCATGAAAACTCAAGGCACAGAACTGAGACAGGATACTCTTAATATCTTTCCGCATCAATACCATTTGAATCATAAAATACATGATGAGAAATGTAATTTTATTCTTGTCTATTGAAAAAAGTTGAACTTTTTCTTTTCCTCTTTCATCTTGTTTCCATCCTGTCGATGTATGGTTCTCTTCCTGCCATGTGAGCTACTGCAGCTGAAGGGAGTCTGCAGAAACTCAGCTCACATTCTTTACGTTTTATGTGTGATTTCATGCCACACCTTTGAAGCACAGATCCTGTGGATTTTGCTGTGGCAATCAGCACCAATCACAGGCACAGTTTTCTTTTTTTCTTTTCAGAACCTTGACTCATTACATCTGTCAGAAATAGAAGTGACACAGTGCAGCTTTGTGTCAGTGGCACACCATGTGAGGTAACAGGGTGGTTAGTGTGTCACTGCTTTTATATGTCAGTGGAAACAAGCTGTTCGCCAATGTCCCCTGTCGCTGAGGGACATGGATAAGAAATGTTTGTAGTTTTCAAGATGAGGGGTTTTCTGGACTTAAATTAAACAAGGAATGTAAGTAAACCTAATGTTTTTGGTACAGAATATTCAAGTCGTTAGTTATCCATGACCAGGCGCAATGGCGGAGCCAGGGGGTGGCCAATGGTGGCATTAGCCTCTAATCTTCAGCCTCCCCAACCATTTGAGGAAACTACTTTTAAGCAATATAAAACTGGAAAGCATAGTTTTCTCAAATGATAAGTGTGGTCAGTTTGCATATAGATATGGTGATGACCATGTTTGATTTTGACGTGGCAACACAACTTTTGAAAGTGACTTTTCTTATGATGCACACACACTAAAGTCGAATTAGGCGTGTTGCTTATTTTTGACCGAACTATTTGAAGAAACTATACTTTTAGGCAATTTATAAACTAGAAAGTATAGTTTCTTCAATTAATTGGGGTGGCAAGCTTACATATATGGTGGTGGCCATCTTGGGTTGTGAAATGTCAACCCAATATTTGAGGCATTTTTACGCCTGCATGCAGCCACACACTAAAATGGAAGTTGGCACTTTGCTTAATTTTAAAGGTATACAGCTCACAACATTAACACATTTACACATATGGTGACAGCCATCTTGGATTTTGATGTGGAAACCCAATTTTTGAAAGGAAACTTTTTTAACACTCCTGGATGAAAATTGGTAACTCATTTATTTTCCACATTATCTTTTTTTTTTTCCATTTACTTTGTATTTAAACAGGAAGTCTCATTGAGTCACGAGAACTCATTTTCAAGAGAGACCTGTTTAGGAAGCAGATGGTGGGGGTTAAGGGCCTTGCTCAAGGGCCCAGAGTGGGGCCAATGAGGGTGGAGGCAGGTGTGGGTGTTTCACATTTTCCACCCACATTTTGATGTTGACGGTACCGGGAGTTGAACCTGCGACTTTCCGATCACAGGCCCATCTTCTAACCTCTGCGCCACCACTTCCAGATGATGTGTGCACAACATGCTCAGATGGAGGGACAGACAAAGGGTATTTCCAATTCATTGTCTTTGCTTCACAATGTGGGGCAAAAAGAAGCAGTTTAAAGTATGAATACAACAAATTCACACCTAAAGTACTTTGAACAAAAGCTTGTAATCCATAGATAGTACAATCCACATCAGTTTGCTGATATGAAATGTTCAGCAGCTCAGATTTGTTTTTCTCCTAAATGGGTTATGTTTTTCACATCATGCAGGGAGTAAATGATTTCAGTCAGGGTTGAATGAATATCAGTGAAGTGTGGAAGTGGGGGCGGGTGGTCAGCTTTAGTTTGCAGAAGTGAACCTCAGAAAACATATTTTTCCAAAAAGTCCATATTAAACAGAACAGAATACAAAACCAGACAGAGAGGAGATCAGCCATGAGGTTTCTATTTGAACTTGGGGAAATCAAGCGTTGCATATGGTGGAGTGTACCTTGCTGATGAACAAAATGACTGGAGAGTAGGAGCAGGGTTCTGTCTGCAGAAACACTACAAGTCACGATAATGTGCATGTGGCAGGCGATTTAGATGCATAAAAGAACAAGGTACATGCAATGCTGCAAAGCTGCAAAGAGCAGGGAAGGGCAATTAGAAGCAGAGAGAAGGTCAAAACATGGGAGAGAAACAGAGACAGACAGAGATGAGCATTCCTCATGTTACGTCTCAACAAACCAACAGGGAATCTCACCCGCCCACGTTCTGGGAGATACTCCAAGAGGGAAACCTTAAACTACGACATCAACCCTGAGCGCCACAAGTAAACATGTTTTTCAAACTGGTCTTTTCTCTCTCCATCTCTACCTGTAAATTATTTTGTTCCAGGGAAATTGTATTTCTCAATACTTGCTTGAGCTAAAAATCTTTAAAAACCAAGTCTGGCCTGGAAAGCGGCCACTGTCAGAGAGTGTCATACGACTGATAACCACAAGACTTTCCATTCGTTCTTTCTTCCTTGCAACATCTGCAAAATGCTTCTGTTCCCAACAGTGCCTCCTCCTTCAAAACCAATGTCCACCCACGCGCAATGCACATAAACAAATGTAGACACATGCAAACACGGAACCACAATATCCTTTACCTTTGTTCTGGCCTTACACTTAAACTATAGAGGGGAAGAGGGTGGAGAGCACAAAACAATGGGTGGAGTTTAGCTGCGGCTTTTATTTAAAAGAGAAATGAATGGACATTTAAGTTTGTTAATAGGTATTCTGTTTAAATTAAACCAGCCGTTGTATTGTGCTAAATGACTCACTTGTGTAAATTAGATCCACAAAGACTAACACCAGGAAAGCAGGACAACTAACTCATTCTTTGAGCAATTAGACCCGTTGTGGGGTTAGGCTTCTTCGAGTCATCGTCTTTGTGTGTACCTGATGCCTGGCAACACCTCTGTTGTCATAGTATAGCTCACAAAAACACATCCCATTTGTTACGTTTTCATGCACTAAAGTTTAGTTAACAAGCAAAAGTCACAAAATACATGCTCCACCTGGTTTAAATTACTTCAGTTATGATGCTTCAAACAAATTTCTTATTCGAGCCTTGACACTCGACAGCTGACCGGTGAAATATTCGACCCCACTATGAACTTACAGATTCTGACTCCTGTCCTTTTATTAAACTGACAGCCAAAAGTGAAATTACCTTCTGAAAGGCGCAGTTTGAGCACAACAGCTTTCACTGACCAACAAAGTTCACAATTTTTGCAAATGGAAAATGTGATTCACGTGCTTAATTGGGAAGGCTGTCCACTGAAACAACCCAGATGTACTTTTCAGGCACGCGTCTTTTCCAGAAATGATTTTAGGGAGCATTTTTCCCTCTTTCCTGTTTACATATCTCAAGGTTAGATTCCATTTTATTGCCTTTCTGCCGCTTCTGCTGCTGTCTTGAATAAAAATGCTTTAGTAATCGTACACACGTTCTTGAAGCATCCACCTTCGTGCCCAAGGAAGAGAAAAGCCAAAGAGGCCAGCAGGATTCCCTCATGACTGATAACCACTGAAGCACCTGGTTTCTGCCCATCTGTAAACTGGTGAAACTGAAAACATGTATGTCTGCTTCAGACTGAGAGGTTATGAGCTGACGGTAGGTTTACAGACAGGAAGAGACATATTCTTGATGTATTACAAGAAGGGCGCGAGTTGGTTTGACCTTGGAGCTGAGAGGGATGTGGTCAGAGGAGTTGAATTTCATCCTTTTATCATAAACCCAGCTGTGTGGCAAAGACGGTCTATAGCCAAAAAGTGATGGCTGGAGCATACCCCAGAGTTACACGTTCATAAAACCCATTTATTCTCAAGATGTGAAGCCATGTTGGTGGTAAAACGGTGCGTTACCAAGGTATTTTAGAGCCTTGCAAGGGTCAGAGCAATACCTGCTCTCACAAACATTCAGACTGACCACATGGTGAAAATGAAAGCTTTATTCTGTATTTTAGCAAGGGCTTTCTGGCAACTTGTAGCCAAACGTGAGTCACGTTCCGTAAATGATGGATCACTTTTCTAGTCATAACAAAAGGTTTCAGTGTTTCAGGACTACCTACCACAGATGAATAATTGTCCCTCACAAAATAAAAGGGAGGGGTTTTTTTTGGTCATGACTTGTTCAGACAAGTTTGAAGCAAAGAAGACTGAACAAATATAGAAATCCTTTGTCTAGAACCAACTGACTGCTTTGCTTTAGAGAAAGCAACTGTGTATTCTATGACTTATTTAGCATCAGACGCATTTACCTATTTACTTATTGGTTCAGAACGTTCGGTTTCATTCAGTACTTTTTCTCTGAAATGGAACTTTTATATATTTGTTTACTTTTTCACCA